AGTCTCGCTTAGATCCTGATTGGAGCATTTTGAAGTATCTATCTCGAAGGCGCTTCGCTTTGCTTTCTCAAATGAAATTCACTGTTCTCTAAGCTTTATTAGCTCCTTTTCCTTTCAGCAAAATTCGCATGACACTTACGATTGCGCGAACAAGGGTCGGAGAGATGAGTAACGGTGACGGATGTCTTGTTCTTCTGTTTGCAGCCGGTATCTTCGTTCACAAAGCGGAGAGCGTGAACTCGAGCTGGAGCCTCTCAACGACTTCGAGTCGTTCCTGCACATGTGCTTAGGATTTGGCATCACAATCTCGTCACGTTCCATGACATAAGTAGCTGCACTTCAATGTACTTCTCGAGCGGTACCAGCGAGTATAACTGTAGTGGCAGCGCGTGTACTGCAGAATAAAATGTTGGCAATCTTAGAAAATGGATGTCGATACGGAGGCTTCATTGACGCACATGGTCTTTCTGCCGCTCACTTTGCCGCACAGATGCAGGCAGTTTAAAAGCAGACAAGGATTGATTGTTTTGCCTCACTGACACTGAAGTTGCAAGTGTTTGGATACATATGTTGATGGGCCACCAGAAAGATCGAGCTCGATGTATCTCGGGGAGGGGATTTCGAGACAGCAGGTAGCTTAGGAGCTCGTCAATAAATCTACTCGGGCTACTAAACGGCGGGATCCCAAGCTTCTAGTAGTCAGGCTGCTTCGTGCAAGGGGCCATGCAATTGCCCATTCGAATGCGTATGATTACCTGCAGCTCTCGTACAGAGTTCCCGAAGTACCAAATTTTGCGCAACTAAACAAGCACGGAGTCCAACAATCTGCAGAAGATTGAACCGGCTTCACAAGCTACGTGGATAATGAATGCCACGTTCACTCAAGTTCCAAGGCATGGCGTGGTTTTCAAGAACCCTCCTATCCGCATCCGGACACCACTGCATGGTCTGCAAATATGCGCCCAGAACCTGTTCCTTACAAACGCTTTTTGTAGACCAAAGGACTCGGTAACTAGAAGGACCCGAAGCAGCCAGGTCCTCTGGTCCTCTGCAGAAGTCGATCCCTCAGTTGTTGATGCGTAGAGGGCTAGTGCTGACAGGACACAGACCAGTGAAACGCCCTAAGCGGTTTGAATAACAACTATTGCTTCGAAACGAGTGTCTGGAGCCAAAGTTTGACCAAGAAAACTTGCCCGCTGCCGGAAACTAGCTGAAACAGCTTGAAGTTACCAGTAATTCCGTTCAAGCGAGTGGCGCGAGGCGGCTCAACAGCAGGGCCTCAATGCCGGGCGCTCTTCCTTGATTAGGAAAAGTAGGTTGTGGAAGCGAGCAGCTCCTTACAAAGCTGCACGGCAGAATGGTGACTGTGGTTAATCATTCCGGCACGCCTCTACTGATGTTCCTTGGACCTCGCGCACTCATCCCAGGACGGCTTAGCCAACCGCCGGGTGACTCGTAACAAAATTTGAGAAGCTTGCTCCTACGTCAAAATCATTGCGGGCTGATCTGACAAATGTTTATCAACGGGCGCTTGAAAAGCTTCCGATAGCAGCCACCCAATGTTGCACCAGGTTTCGATGGCATACCAAAATCTCAGGAACTCCAAACTTGTCGCCCAGCGGACAATCAGCTACATGATTAATTCGCTTAGCTCAAGAACTTTGTAGTTTGGAGCTTCTCAACTCCGCCGAATATATGCAGGAGAACAAGGATCTGAGGGTTATGAATGTTAACCTACTACGTGACAGTCGTTTCACTGATTCGCGTCTGGTCACGAAAGCTTGTGATTCGACACCCTCTACGAAAGGTGCAACCACCTCCGAGCTGCAATTGCATCATGCTTTGAAGTCCAGGTAGTGCGTGGGTTTCTCTGTGTTAGAGTAGTTGCACGGAAAGCGCATGCATATGAATATAATGTCCGATCATCAGCCTTCCGGTAATCGGGAGGGCACTCTGGGCTATCAACAGCACAAAATTACTTTTTCAGTTGAGATCTTGATGGGGCATATGGAAGCTTCGACTGTGGATGACTTCAGGACTGAAAACGTAACTCCGAGTCGATTATTGAGAATCTTTGAAAGTCCGTGAGCTTTTCAGCAAAAGGAGCGTCCTTTCCTACTAACTGAAACGCTGCCTATAAGTGAGACGGGAAGTGTTCCATTTTTGCTTTACAAGCCTTATTAAAGTTTGCCGACATGGATTATTGTAAGAAGGCTAGCTATCCAGGTCGACTCCAACAAAACCCGCTACTTCACGTTTAAGGCCGCATTTCCTTCTGCACCGATGGCGTTGCCGTACTGCTCACGGGCTATCATCCTGGCAGAGAAGAATGGGGAGGTTGATCAGGAAGAATCCATCATGTTGAGTCCAACCATGCAGACTGTTACGTTCAAAGTGTTGCACACCTACTCAGCGCGAGACAAGACGAACTTCGACCTGCGGCTCACCGGGGTGGCCAAGCTTTGCTGCTTCGAGAGGCATCCTGCAGCTTGGTTGCCTCCCAACTTATCATCTTGACGTGCCATACACATTAAAGTAGATGAAAGGAGGTAAGCACAAATATGACTGGATTCGACCATTCTGAGTATAGTTCAGGTGCGTTCTCTAAACCGCGAGGAAAAGCTTGGTTGTCGCTTTACCTTATTACTCTGGTGACTTGTCTCAGCGTCTCTACCCGTTCGGTGCGCTGGAAATCTTGCATGAATGCAACGAACCCTGGCTCTGCGTTCCCATATCGCTTCTGAAATATCCTGACCGCCTCTTTGACCATCAGATACTGGTCCCGTGCCGCAACTTCCGCCTTCAAAGATTCCGTTTCCGCTGCGGCAAGGAGCGCGCCCTGGAATATGACGTCAGCCTGGTTGCCCATTGTCTCTGCCACACGTTTCCTTGCATCGATGACTTTCACATCTCGGGTCACTTTGTCCTCTGTTATGTGCATATCCTCGAGCCGCGAAGTCTCCTCTTTAAGATACACCAGTGCGATGGCTTGCGCCGACCACGCTTTCTGCACTTGAAAGTACGCCACCGCTCCAAGTCCGGCACACAATCCGATGAGATCCCAAACCACAGGATATCTGGACGTCGACGAGTCTCCTTCTTTTCGAAACGGACTGAACATCACCGATACAAGGGCTACTTTTCCGGCATCTTTGGCCATCTTCACCCCGCGCCAGACAGGCTACTCAAGTTTGAAAAGTAAGCAGTCGGAAGCAGCGCTTGCCAGCTTGCATATATTGCGCGGTGTCCAACCCTTGCGGCATGCACTGCAGCGCAGCGGCGGGGGCTATCGCCAGCGTGCGGCCCGGAATGCCAGGAAAGCTTCAATCTCAGTGACCACTGAGAGGTCTGATCGATCTCGCTGGTTCTGAATCTGCTTGAGAATCACATATTGTTTGGAAGCAAAATAAGGGCTTGAATGCTTTAAACTTTTGAGGTTCTTCCAAATAGGCTTTCATTGGTTCCTGCGCCGGCAGACCAGAATTGTGTCCACCAGTTTCACATGACCGGCCGGCGCGCGGCCCCCCGGGCGCCCCTGCCCTATCAAATTCAGTCAACGTCAGTACAAGTGCTGACTCTACTACAGAAAGCTGAAACGACCACCGCTCGCGCCGAAGCTCCTGATGCACAAGCCAGGCGCCAGGTTCGGTCACTGGCAGCACAATAATCCACTGTTAGAACTTTGTACCCGGCGGCCAGTCTGCGCCCGGGCCGAGTCCGATATGATTGATCGGCCGGCGGCGCTCACGGTGCGGCCGCGCGCGCCCACTGCTCTTAGTAGTAGGGCCTCCCGGGTCCGGTGACTCCGGTCCCCGGTTTAACGGAGTTCATTCCGGCCGCCGGCCGAGCTCTTCCGACACTTCCGATCGGTGCATGTACGTACCGAGCCGGACCGTCGGACTACCGTACGACTCCGAGTTCAGATTCGGCCTGTGACCGGTCCGTCCGGGTGATCTGGGCCCGCCGACGGCCGGTCGGCCGGATCGGTCCTACAAGGCCGCCTTAAACGCCCGGTGTGATTGTGTGAAGGTGGACCGTCGGCGTCAGCGCAGTCATTATGCACAGTGCCGATGCATGGGCCGGGCAACTAGCTAGAATATAGAATATAGAATGAGTCATCCTGATCGAACTGGTCAACCCCAAAACACGCTTCGAGAAAATGCGCTCGCAGCTTACACGCTGTATACTTGTCAGCCCAGCCCTTACTGGGACGATGTGACAGTCAACGCGTGTTTTTAGAGCCGGGACTAGTATATTGACCGTCGGCCCTGAGAAGCTAAAATAGCCGACTGCCACTGGCAAGAGGTAATCCAGGTTCCGTGAATACGTTCTCGCGCACCTCGACAGTGCCTTAAAATCTCAGCTTTCGCTTGCAAAACCGGAGCACACGAGCTACTTCGAGCGGCAGCTTTTCATCCCTCGTCCCCACCACCATGTTTAACTGTCATTGCTAAGAACTTCTGCTCGCCCCAGCTAGATCCTTCTGCAAAAACCGGTAACGATTTCCCACTGCCTCGCGAGCTCCAGCTTGCGGTTGCAGGGTAACGAGAATGCTCCCAGCGCTCGTTCGCAAGACAAAGTCGGCGGCCGACATGATGAGTCGCCGAGATCGACGTGGGCCGGAATACGAGGCTGCAAGCAGTGCGCTTTCGACAAACCAGCCAACCAACGAGAGGCATATTCAGGCGGTGAGTGGAGAAACAGGGCTACTCTCAGAGCTGACATCTGGCATAATAAAAGAAGTCTGTTGGCAGATTCCTGGCAGGCACACTAGCTGTTCTGGCATGCCAGTGCTCATTAACACTTTCAAGAGCAAACCATTTTCAGCTTACCGTTTATGTCTGGTCACGGCTTGCACTTTACGATTCTCCGTTTCAGACTCTATAATGTGACAGTCATGAGAAGCATCAAGCAACAAACTTCCAAATGCGCGCCGCCGGTCCACAGCAAATGACTCAGTGGTTGAGGCTAGCTTACCAAATCAGAAAGCGCCATTTGGAAGTAACAGACTCGGAACAGTTTGAGTTGCGTCGCTCACGCTGTGCCCGGCTTTCGTGAACAGGTACTTTCTTCATTCGGTTCTGAAGATTTGGGTGAAGCTGGCCAGGTGTCGCCAGGATTCCAGGCTGCCGATCAGATTGCTCAGAACAGGGCTATACTCGTCAAGAGCATACTGACAGCCAGAAGAGCAGTGGCAAAACATGTTACAAAGACGGCAGAACGATTGTGGTTGGGCGAAGCACTCTTCGTGGCCCAAGTCAGGGGCCACCTGAAACGGAAGCGCGGCCCGCCAAATGCGGCTCGTCAGACGGCCAGACCTGGTAAGACCCCATATACTCTTTCTCTCATCTTCTTTAGGCTGAGCTACGAAGAATTACTTCATCTTTGATCTCAGCGACTGCATGCCAGCCAGTCCTCTCCCTTTCGAGGTTCAAAGACTCAAGTACTACTTCCTGACTTAGCGTACACGACTGGCGCTTGACTCACTGCCTGCCTTTTCTTCAAACAGAGCAGAACTAGCAGAGCTCCAGTCTCTTTCAGAGGGAGAAAGCTTCAAGCCATACGAAGAGCGAAGAATTTCAGTGCCGTTATTCTACTTTGTGCAGAATCCTCGGCTGATTACCCGCCGGTCAAGCTTCGGGATGCACCCAATGCAAGCTCGATTTTCATAAAAGCCGACTCAGGGCTGCTTTTAGGAGACGGACAAGCGGCGAAAATCTCCAAAAACCGTCGAATTAAGCCGCCGCACCTCAGAGCGGTGGGGCTTTCTAGCTAAACGGCTTAGATTTGAGCTAAGTTAGTGCACTGTCTGAGAATCGTTTATTCATGATTAGGCCCGATGCTGGATTCACCAGCTGCGGCTTATCCACTGTTTAGAAAGAAGTCTCCAAATATTTTTGAGACCTGTCAACTCTGCATCTTCAAGACATACATCAATGAAAGGCGCGAATCCATCGTAAGCCCATTAGAGATGATGATCAAAGGCTAGAAACTTCTGTGACGAAAGCTTGACTTCAACGTGTTTGGTTCAAAAATACGTCAGAGATTCGAACGCACCACTTCTGGCGCAAGATCATGGCCGTACGAGATGATTACGGCACACCAGCTAGCAGCGCCCGAATTGCTTTGGCACGTACCATTTTTCGAGATTAATTCGGGGTGAAATTGTTTGAGTACGAGACTCCAATCAATCTACCGAGATGCCAACCGGAAGGGAATCAATGGAATACCCTGTACGGACTCTTGCACGAAAGGAACTAACGGAACGTTGCTACGGCAGATCCGTCCTACTAAGACTCTGCGCTTCAGGCTGCGCTGCGGCTCTCGATCAGCACACGGGCGTATTTTTGATTCTGGCGGACTGCTCGTTGCGTCCAAATGTTTGTCGGAACGCTAGCGGGTTACCAGCGAAACTGCTTGAAGCGCCTTCGCTTCTTTCTACCTAGCCTTCAATGCTTGCCCTTACACGGACAGTGCACCCCCTAACATTGCCAGCGTTGTATGCGGCTCGAAGGGACCCCGAGCAACCACGGCCCCGAGAACAGCCGCAAACCTGACGAAGCGGTAGAAGCCAGCCCACTCGTTCTTTCTCCTCGCAGCATTCTCTCGAGCTTCCGCTGCCAATCTCCTATTCCTCTGGTCGTCTGCTACAACCTTCTTAAAGTAGTCCTTAGCCACCGTCTCAGGCCCGCAGGAGGAGGCGACAAGCCTCGTCTTAAGGATCTGGATTCGTCTAGGTGGCAACTTTCGGAAACACCACCCGTAATAATTAAGGTTGAAAGCCCACATCCGTTGGATTACTTCATCAACCCGCGCTTGAAACGGGGGAAAGCCGAGCTTTACCAAAGCCGTGTAGAGGCGAAAGTAGCAGCCGGGATTGACGCCCAGCGTGATGTCGGCGAGGCACTGTGAGGAAAAAGGCCGAAGTCTTGAAGAACGAAAGCGGGCTTACTTTTGATGGCAGTAGTAGGGGTGACTACGTACATGAATACGGCTGGCACTAAGCAGAGAGCAAGCCTACCAGAAACCTTCTTCCGAGGGCACTGTGTTTTTGCAGTAAGTCGCTTGAGAGGTCTGTGTCCCTGAGCCCCAGGTTGACAGGTTGCAAAGCTCGCTAAGTAAGCGAAGAACGTGGCAGGATCTGCTACATCTGAGGGTAAGCACGTTTTCATTGAGTCTGCTCATGGGGCACTAGTCGATCTATCTTGCCCTTTCTAAGAGGCCAGGAAGGACAAGCGGTCTTCTTCCGCTTGATTTTATACTCGTAGATAGGGTGAGGAAAGATGCTCGCTTCTCACCGTGTCTACAAACTGGTCCTTCGTTTGGGGCGCGATGAAGCCTTCCCTGAAATGCGCCAAGAGCTTGTCAGAACAGGTTCGAGAACCCATCCGATCGCCTCCTGGCGGTTTTCTACGACCAAAGCAGGGACCCAGCTAACAGCGCTATCGGCTTCATGTTCGAGAAAACTGCTTTCAAAAGACTTCCGGTACGGTCGGTCCGGTGAAGCCTTTGTAATACCAAAGGTCCAGCTCCGCCTTGCACTGCAGCTTCAGCTAGTGCTGAACATTAAGATCTGGCGCCAATAAGATACAGGCGCCAGACGAGTCTTAAACTCACTCGACAGTCTTGACACCTGTAGCTTCCAACAGTGAGTCAAGAAAAGTCAGAACCCTTACTTTGGCGGAACTCGGCAGGCCACTACCCATCGCTGAACCTCGGAATCCGCCTCCGCAGCTCGACCATCACAGTCGTGATGAACCTTGTCGAAACTTTCCTTGAGGAACCTCTTGATGGATTCATCCAATCGAATGACCTGACAAGAGCGGATGCATGAGACGACTGCTTGATGCTTGTGGAAGAGATGCTTGTGGAAGACATCTCAACGAAGCGGTTGTCATCAGACCGTCAAGCCTCGGCCTTTCTGATCGACCTGAGGACACAACCCAGCTGACGTATTTGAGTAGATCGCGCCAAAAAGCTAAATGTTTTTAGCGCCTATGTGGTGCATAAGAAGAGCGCTAGGGCTTGGTCGTTGCTTCATGCTTCTGAGAGCTTATGATTCTGAGTAGCAGATCTTGGGCAATTGCAAACAGCTGTACTTGCAATTGAAACTTGATAGCGCTGCATCCCTATACCTTTCCGGCGTCATCAGGACCTTCAATGGATAAATCCGTCAGTGGATATCCGATGAGAGACCTTGAAGGCATGACGTTGAAGTCAAGTTGCGAATTGAGCAGAAACTGCAAGCAACAAGGAGAAATGATACAATATTTAGAACGCGCACACGAATGTCCAATCTACCTTGAACGGCAATATGTTGATCGTAAAATTCTGCAAGGTCTGGAAAAACGCAATTAAGTTAGCCTACGGCTTCCGTTTGATATGTATAACCTTTTTAAGCTGCAAGCCCTCAGCTTATCATGGCAAGAGCCAGCGCCTTCGGTTGCTACCAGTGTGGAAAACCAGGAGTGACACTCTGCCACCTACGTTCCACGTCTGCTCGAATCTGTTGTCCGTCTCCTCAAGATCCTCGGAGCTGAGAAGAGCTTCGTGCATTTCAAGGAAACCGACAAGGTCAGCTCCCGTACGCGCCCACCAGTCAGCTCGTCTTGACTTCCTTCCAACAGCTCCAGCTAACACCTGAGCGTAGGGAAGGAAGTGATCAAGTGATCAGGCGCATTATGCAGATTTTGAGACTATGCAGGCAGGTTATCTCGCAAGCTTCAGAGAAATCGTGAGTGAACCAGTCGTAGCAACGATCAGCAATGAAGCTACATGTACAATCGAGTATCTTTTGAGGGGAGGAACCCAATTTGCCACTTAGCATGAGGTGAAAGTAGACTTTGAGAATACCGAGCCTGAAGAGCTCCAGCAGATGTGTGCTCCTGCTCCTTCCTGTGGCAGCATAACCACTAGCACGTGAGCTTTTAGATAGAAGATGAAGGACCGATCATTGAATGCTCTGGACTCACGCTGCCTGATTGCTCCGCTCCTTCTCACCTTGTAACCCTCAACGCTCAAAGCAGGTTCTGGAGAAGACGGGTTTGCCACATTGGTGCGCATCAGATTGAAAAGTTTCGTCAACCACCTGGTCCCATTGGACGTGAGTTCAAGAACCGAACCTTCACAATCCTCAATGGCCAGCCCAAATCCTTGTCTCCAATTGCCAACAGCATAATCATTGGGATACTCGTCAAACTCTTTCCAGAACATGACCACTTCAGCCCATTTTGAAGGGAGAACCCTCCAAATCGCTTGGAATCCTGCCGGCAGAAGCAGCAAACCGTATAACTTGAGGCGTGTATCTGAGCCCTCCCTGATTGGGAATTTTGGATCATTATCCATCATGATTAGTCGTGATGAGCTCGTTCAGCAGCAAGATCTGCGCCAACGATAACATGCGCTAGCTGCCGTCTGCGATTGACGTGCTGCCAAATTTATCACGTACCCGCTTTACTTAAAGGACTAAAGGTGGCTCCCTTCTGGTATATAGCTGTGATCATGCAACAATAAAGTGGGCAACTGTGACCTCAGCTTTTCAAATACCGAAGATACATTGTAACAAATACGTGCTGCAATATGCATCTGATCAGACCGTTGCATACTGCAACTGATTGCCAGTCAGCATAGATTGTTCGCGTGATCATGAGGAGCCAAAAAGATCAAAAAATGGGTAATAATTATAGTGTTTTGAACATATCAACATTGGACTTTTACCACAGCTCCTAATTGACTGAACCAGTGACTGTGATTGGCAGCAGTGCTGCTCGAAGGGAACTCGGCGGTAGAGAGAGGGAGTCCAGTACTTCTCTTCATTGCTGCAAGGACTCGGAAACTTCAGAACTTCCAGTTTTCCCCGACAGGACAACATTTGTACAAATGGTACACTTAGGTACACTACTGGATGTCACTGGGATTGGCAGAGCCTAATGGCCTGTACAGCCATTTGAACCGAGTGCGGCCGCGCCACCGCCGCTGACTCACACCGAGTCACCGGCCGGCCCAGGGGGACCAAACCCCACTCAGAGTGCCGAAACCATGTTCCAAGCCGTCCGATGAGCTTTTGGTTCAACTGGACGGTCAAGATTGCATCAAGAAGTGTCCCGAGCTAATAGTGTGCACCCCGGTTGGCCTGTAAATTGGGTATAGTCCTTGGTTATTAAATGGTTAAAGCAAACTTGCCTGATTAACCCTCCTAAAATAGGTCAGAATAGCTCCTAAACCCCTTGTTGCCCCAACCCAAAATTCAAGAGTTTCAAACAAGACCCTTCGGAGGTTTGATTTCACCAATCTCCGGCTTGGGGCAATTAGGGGTTTGGCTGCTGGCACATGGTTCAGGATGCAAACCAATTTACCTGGGGCGTTTGGTCCGGCCAATCCGACTCCAGCCAGGCCTCGACCGTGACGCACCGTCCGTACGGCGTATGTACAGTGTACAACAATCTGTTTCAGCCTCCAAAAATTTCCATCTACAGAGTACCAGTATATGTACTGAACGGTACACGGCTAAGTGAATCCGAACCGCCGCTGTTGGTAATTGTCTGCCGCCCGTGCATCATTATCGACGGCTACAGGAGGATATGTACGGTATTAGCATCTAATGATGGATACATGCTGGCCGGCCGAAGTTCCGCAGGATACTACTCTTTGCATGACAGCATAGCTGGCACTCTCAATCTTTCTTTAACGTACCTCGGGAGTCGGCACTAGTCCGCTCTCATTGAACAATGATACTAATAGAATGCTGGCACCGCTCTGCTCTGCAGCCATTCGTAAACTTGCCAGTCCGGATCCATGAACGGGCGAGTTTCTGATCAAGCGGCTTTGATTTCGTAAATTTGAGTGCGGAGCCACGATCTTCAAAACCGCCGGCCACCATTGGCGGTCACATTACTTGCCGTCCAAAGAGTAACCATTTAGCCCTCATTCAGCATACATGAGCTGTATGACATGTGCAGCTAGCAAAATGAGCTCATGCCAGTTAGTTAGCGCGCTCACACTCGCTGACTCCGAGATCCAACTTCTTGAAGTTGCCAACTCCTCCACGACCTCCATCCTCATGAGTCTCATGTCAATTCATTGAGCACGGCGCAGTGCTGAATGAGCCTTCAAATGCCATGCCAAGTACACATCCTGATGCCTCAGATGACGGAAGCTTCTCAGAAGCTTTTCACGCAAGCGATTTCCCTGCATGCAGACGGTGCTATATCTGCAACTCGGCTGGACTAGTGAACCCTTCCCTGCCAAGTGACGATGAAATCTACACCCGATTTGAACGACACTTCGCGGATTTCAAGAACTCTGTGATTCTATCCATTTCAAAGCTCTTCTAACGATAGCCGAGATTGGCAAAATATGTTTCGCTTTTGGTTAGAAGACGAACTAGTCGAGTTCGCAGAAGTCGACAGCATTTGCTGATACGGTGCATGAATGCCTAAGAGCTTCATTCCATTGACACAGTGATGGATTGAACTATGCGGGGACAATGCATTCAAGCTTTGAAATCCATCGTGGTCGTTCCCTGGTCATTCGCCGCAGACCACTTTCTTGATACAGCTGTGATGTGACTACTAGTCCCGTGAATTTCACCGCCGGACACGAATGCCTCGCTCCAACTGATTGGGCCGTTGGCACCAGCATACCGGTTGCTTGATATGACTGCTCACGCATCTTCCAGATGTGACCATCCACTTGCATGTGCAGCATTTGCTACATGTCCATGCAGGCTGACTTTCACCTGAGGTAAGTCGACGTTAGAACTGCACCAAAGGAGGATGAAGGGGTGGCCAGACATAGATAGCCAGTGTCGAGGATCTTCCACCCCGGCTATCAAGAGGAATACAGAGGCATATTTGTGTCGCGTTGCTGAATATCTGGTCGCTCTCAGTGCCACCTGCTTTGTTCACGACGTAAGGAAAGCGGGGAGGAAAGGACAGCAGCAAGACGGGAGCAACAAGACCGGACGTCCGCATGGCAGGTATCGTCGCCTTCGTGTCCGCTGTCGTAGGCGTCATTGCCAATTCCAGGGCAACTCCCCTTACTGAAAGTGCTTCGCTCATGGAGTACGAAGATAGGATCTACTCGTGTGTGGAGAAGGCAAAAGAGGTTTGGGCCAAGTCAGGGGCTGCACTTGCAAGAGCTAAAGCAGCAAGGGACGCGGGTGACTTTGCACGAGCTTCACGGTACAACCTGAGGGTCATTCGATACAAGGAGGAGACGGAGGTACAGTTTAGACTTGCTGAAAAATACAAGAAAGCAGGGCTGAAGAAGATGGAGCAGTGCCGGCGGCGCTTTGGAGACTGTGACACGTCAGCGGAAGCAGTCGACCAGGCGGGGGTGACGGTAGCCATGACGGAGAGCCTCTACGAGGAATTTGCAGAGCAGGTGGAGGCATTCACGAAGGCGCTGGGGACTTTTGACGCGTAAGTGGGCGCTTCTTTGACGTGACCACATGCAAATGGAAGCTCGAGACTAACTTGCCCATCATGGAGCATTCTTTCAAACACACTCAACACGTCAGGGAGGTTGTTTTGGGACATCTTGCTATGTTATCTGATTTCAAGAGGGTTGATCTGGGGGGCGGCAACACGTTGATGTAGCAAGTTCGGAGCTTAAAATTTGCGTAAGTTTTTTTGGATGACTTTGAAATTGGGCTTTCTGCTTCATGGGTTTGAAGCAGAAAGCCCAATAGGGGCAAAACCTGTGACAGAGTGCGGATGCTGGGCTCAGCTCCCCTACGTTGGATTCTCAACGTATCCTTTTTCCTCTTCACTGTTCTGCAACCTCAGGCTGGTCTTCATCGACTAGGTCTTCAGCGCCGCGCCTGACTTTTGAGTAGCCATCGACCTTCGAATCTCTGCGCTCAGTGAGACGGGACTCTCAATCCAGCAATTAATTCCGCATGATTTTGTTTAGATACTCGGAACGGCCCACCAAAACGATTACTGCTTTGAACTGAAAGCGAGGCCCCCAGCCGCTCACATGAAAATTCCGGCAACGGCGTAACTTCAGCTTGACATCGATAGCAGTTCAATCTGTGTGCAGGCTCGCTCAAGCGATGGGCCGCCAGTAGGGCGACAAACGGCGCCTGAGCTGGGAGGTGGATCGAACTTAACGGTTAGTGATGGAAGAGCTCATCAGGGAAGCCAAGACCCCTTGTGTCGCGAAATCCTTTCCAATGCGACACTCGCCAATCGACAATCGAGAGCTCTCACGATTCTGAGTCCTCTTGTTTCGACTGGACTTAAGGCATGTTGCGTGACAGATAGGTTGGTCACGCTGGTTATGCATGCTCTGCCGGAACTTCGTGTCTGAAAACATGTCAGCACAAGTTGGAAAGTTTCTTTGGTTGCTTCCCGATATGACGTTGATCGAGATTTTGAGAGAGGACGGCCAGCGTGGTCCCGCAAGGAGGCAGATCTCCACTTCGGCAGACCTGTTTGAAACTATGGGCAGGACCAACATACTTGCAAATCAAGCAACCGAATCATCCAATTGGATGAGCTATCAGCAGCCGGCGCGCATGCGACATGCCCGGCTAAAATCATGACGCATCAACTGTCTTTGTACATCAAAGAGGCAGCATGCATGCCAAATTAACTTGACTTAATGTTCTTGGCAGGTAACGCTAGCTGGCCCAACGAAAATCTCATAGAAAAGTTGCTGGGCGGCAGTATCATCAGTGTAAGGCTATAGTGCCGTACTACTAAATCTGATTAGGACATGCAACACAGGCTGGCCATTGACCTAGCTAAACTATTAAGATACCGTCTCGCGGCCCGGCTGATTGCTCAATCATGATCATGCATTGCCCAGACCGTTTTGGAGTCCGATCAAACGGACTTCTATCGAGTCAAGTGAAATCTCGCTTGCGTGCACTTTGAGTGAATGTTAACGGCACGCCAAATCATACAGTACGGGATATGCAACGCTACGTTCCGTTTACATTTAATCACAAGAACAGATGTAATTATTTGATCGCGGCGGCTGCAAACCAGCGGCCACGCGATCACTTGATACGTTTGATTGCTTCATTGGTCCATCTGAACCTAGATTCCGCGGCTCCATGATCCGAACGTCCCAAATCATTCTGGGCCGGCGCGATATATGCAGCGCCGCGGGGATACAGCTAGCCGCCTTCCATGCAGGCGGCGCCGCAGGCCAAGTGCACCAGATGGCAATCACGTGGCCTTTACTGACTCATCAGGACGTGATATGCCGCCGCCTCATGCAGCTAGGTAGGCCACTGCACATGTGCACTGAGTCCGGCCTTAATTCTGACACTGACATCTGAAAAGCTGCCACTGCCTTTGAATTGATCGTATCTAACGGCAGCGCAGAAATGGTTGTTATGCAATAATGTTATGGAGGCCATGGAACCCGGCAGACTTGGTAGAGTCGTGGCGCCAGAGTCTTCTAGCTGAGTCGGAAAGGCCGCCAGCTCGCTCTTGAGGGAGCGAGGTAATTGCGGAGCTGATTAGCTACAAGCATTAGATCATGCATGAGAACTTGAACCGGCAGTAAATAGTTGAGAATCAACTGGGGAAGTATAGGTAGTAAGTTGGCGATGATTACATATACCGTACAGGCGCCAGCTAGCTGCCAGCTGGGCGCTGGTTCAAGGTAACGTAATGATTATGGAGGCAACTCTGTCTATGTTACCAGCTAGGGGCACGCGAGCGAAGTGTACACTCGACGTGGTCTTCGCTTAAGCGTTGGGCGAGCTGTCTCTTTCCAGCCTGGAATGCGACGGACGCCTTGACCAATGGCGTGGCTAGGCGACGACCCTTTTTGAGTAGCGACCAGTGTATATCTAGGTAAAGGCGACGAACTGCTGCCTCACAAAGATGCCAGATCTTCGATCATTTACTTGACGCCCGCCAAAGCTAGCAACGATCCCGCAGCGAGCAGCGCAATGTGGAAGAGGACAGGCGCCAGCAGAAAGATGCCACGAGTGCAGACGGTTCCACGATGATGGACTGCTCCCAAGACGGCTTTCAACGCCCAGTCGTCCACTACAAGGAAAGCAGGCAAAACTGTAAGCGGAAGTACAGCCGTCCAGCCGTATGCGGACACGGTTCTTGTCTGCATAGAGCAAGATTGTGTCTGCGTACGGCAGACGATCATTTGCGTACGGCAGACAATCAAATTCATCAAAGACTGCAATCGACTCTGACATCTCTGTGTGGATCGTGTTCTATATAGATTTAACCGCTTGGAGCGAGCCAGTGGTGCCTGCTTGCACTACTCGTTTTTCTGGAGTACGTGCGAAGATGATCAGCGGAGGATTCACTGCGCACTCTCCGGCAGCCAACTACAAGTTGAATGAACCTGGAGAACGCACATCGAAACTTGGATTGACTATGATGTATGCCGAAGTGTCGAAGTGTTGCGTCGCAGTCTGACGCTAAGCCCCCGAAGCTTGCAACTTTCTGAATGTTACGTGGACCTAAATCTCCAAGTCCGAGCACTTTGCTTAAAGCAAGCCACTTACCCAGAGGATCGCAAGCTCTGCTTCTGCATCCCGCGTGCACTTCCTCAAGCAGGGAGGTTTTAAGGCAAAATATAATCAGCTGGACGCAAACGTCAACGGTGCATCTGGCGCGCTCCATCAAGCAGTCTGTCGTGCGTGATCCGCAAGTGGGTTTATCAAAAAAGCGCCAGAAAGTGGGTGAGCGCCTTACTCGCAAACCTGGCCCGGGCTTCCTGTCTTGCCTTCCTTTTTCCTTCTCCTCACGTGCCTGCTTCTGCGCCGCCTCCGCGACCTTCTGCGCAGCACGCCCTTGGGGAGTCTGTGCATGCTCCTGCTGCCTGCATTCAATCCATTCACGCAAGTAAGACGTGTATCAAGGCAGAGCACAGCGAAGGTGACAACTTTCAGCGGCAGAGGGCAAACACTTGCATCTGCATCTGCGGGGCTGCATTAAATATGGAATTGAATTTTGCCAGGTGTCTTTTAACAACACAGAGGAAAAGATCAGCTTTGATGGAGGAGCAGCCAACATTCCTAGAGCAAGCTCAAAGTGGTCTGGGGAACGGGCGACTCTGCAGACTGAGAAGCAGCGGCCTGACACTCGGGCTTCAGTGAACTGCCCACATGTCTATATAAAGTCTCAAGTTAACTGCGCAAGCACGATACCAACCCTGCCACCTACTCCCACATATAGACATGCTGTATCTCGAGATTCAAGATTCGGACAAGAGCATGCAAGGTGCAGAAGTGACATAAAGGAGAGTCCAAATATGAACTTTTGCACTCATTATTGTGTTCTTCAGTCCCGTGAAGCACTCTATTAACTCTGCAAAAATAGAGAGTCAACTAAGAGTTCTTGAAGAAGACAATCAAGCCGGCTAACAGCAAATGGATTCTGACCTACTCCCAGAACATTGAGATGCAGAGTGCTTCCCATGTTCAAAAACCTAGCTTGTCCAGCTCCACCACTTTGGGCTAGGCATTCCTGCTGATTGAAGCTACCCATCTGGCAAATCCAAGCAGGATGGCTACAACTACTTGTAGCTCCTGGACACTTTCTAGTCAATTCCGCAACCTGTTCAGAAACTCAACAGTAATTCCATTTTCTTTGGGGGGAGACGGCAGTGTAAAATGCAAGCGATTGGGTCACTTCAAGCGGAACATACGGAACGTACAGGTTTAGACACCAGCTTTTCAGTTCTATCCGTTCCTGACACAGTGACATTTTGTGGCCTGAGTCGGTAGCTCACTCATGAAGGACTTGGCTTGTCCCCAATTTTTAGATTATGGCATCTTGTTGCATGCATCAAAGGGAGCAGATCAAACCCCAAAGACTTGACTTGGAAGGTGCAACTTGCTGCACGTACCTCGCTGTTGCTGCACTTGCAGCCATTGTGCGAGGATCTACGCCGTCAACCGGAGGACTGCCTCCCAGGCGGTGGCCTTCTTTCTCACTTTCCCCTGCATTATCCCTGGATTCTTGAGAATGTTGGCCTTCATCATCTGACGATGGGGTGCTTCTACAAAGATACCAGGTAGCACCTGTAAAAAGAACAAACCCGGCAGAAACAACAAGGATTGTGAACGCGATTGAGCTCGAGTCATCTTCCGCAGCCCTTTTCTCAGTCCTGCTCTGCGGGTGCTTCCGAGAATCGCTTTGCCTTGCGCAGAAGCTTTCCGAAGGCGGTATTCAACCGCTCCGTCACCCCTGAGAGTAGCGACGCTTGTGCTGAAAGCAACTCCGGATCTGGCAGCTGCAGGTTGCTGTAAATGGAAGCCTTATGCATTTCGTATCTACTTTATCGTCCCGAAAATGTTGCTGGCCAGCCTTCCAAATATTGGATGCTGGGTTGAACGCCAATGGAGACCGGCTTGAGAGAGAAGAATGGAATGGTGATCTTGCTATTGAGCTGATACAACTCAGCTATTACGGTTCAAGTCTCGATATCCGGACACCGCGGTAACGTTGGGTTTGCTGCTTCAACAAACCCTCATGGCCGTGCCCGGCTGTTATTGCGCGCGCGGTCGAGAAGGTGAACCGACATTGCCAGTAACTACACAGACTACAGTCGATTGAGCTTTAAGCTAAGTAGTGTCATGTCAGGCACAAACGGGCGCTGACAGCAATCAGCCTGTCCGGGGTGGCAGCCCGGGGTGGCAGCCCGCCACAATCCACCTGAGCTCTAAGGGATCATGCAAGCGGGCAGCTGCTAGTAGCTATTATAGAGTTGGTGGGCGTTCGGTGCCCTCAGCATACAAGTGCCAGAGCCACTAGCTAGTGCTGACTGGCATGCAGCTGACGGTGCCGCCGGCCCCGTGATCGGCCGAGCCGTCTGCAAATTCCAATGCAATATAAGAGATGAGGCAGACTTTATTGAGTCAGTGAAGTTCACATATCCAGCTGACATCCTGTCTTCGGCACATGTCCAGCTCGTCTAGTGTCCACGAGCACGTCACATGAAAGCCCTCCGACGCGCAAATCACGTCCATGACTTGAGGCCTACCGGCGAAATAGACCATCATGGCATAGGCATGTGTAAATACTCATGTCACATATAGATCTCACTCCACTGAGCAGATTTAGCAATTAATGTAGTGGTTGGACACAAGCTGCTGATGACACATGGATCGACGAAAGCTTCCAGCAGATATGGTCCGTGGCAGTCTCAAATGCAAGAACTTGAAGAAGATGATTAAGTCTTGGGTGGTCACTTTTGATTGACAGCTTGAGTCGAAATGAGGACCGGGTGAGGACCTTTTTGAGGACCGCTTGAGAATGTTTTTGCCATCAAGCTGCCACTCTCCGTCTCTGTTCTCTTTGCATCTCATTGCGAGCACCGCAGCAAACGAGACAGCTGCGAGAGCATCAGTGTCTCAACGGAAGCCAATGAGATGGCTGCCTCGCTGCACGTCCGAATTGGCAAGCTGACCTCAGCAGCATTAGTCGGAGACAGGCTTCCAGGAGCACAATCTTCGACTCACTCTCCAACTGACCAAGCCAATCATGAAGCTCTTAAGCACTCCCCGCATGAGTCGTCTAAGTTAGCTCTTACCGACTCTAGAGCGCAAGACCGCTCCGTTGAAGCTATATTGAGCCGCGACTTCCCGCTCAGAGAAGCCATCCAGGTTTTCAGAACCAAACCCGAAGCACGTGCCCTTTTTGAAAGCCCAGAGCTGTTGAGGAATCTGTCGCTCCCGGACGAGACTAAGGCGTTTGTCCGTGTGCTGAAAAACCCCGAGACGGAATGTGTAATTTACCTGATCGGAACAGTTCATGTGTCACCCGATAGCAGAGATGACGTCAGGATGCTCATCCAGGAGGTTCAACCGGAGAAGGTGGCAGTAGAGGTAAGTTGATTCCCTGGATCGTGGCCTTGAAATCAAGAGTATCGGCTTCTGACTTAGGAGTCTCGGGTTCGTTGTTTTCTTGAACTCCGCCTTGGCTTGCAGCTTTAGGCTACAACGGAACTCATTTTCTACAAAGAGTTGTTTCAGCCGCCAGTCTGAGGAGGATCTCCGAATGCTCAGAAGATTTTAAGGCTTGAGTCACCTGACGAAGCAGCTCTTGGTTTGGGGACCTGTTTGTGGATCTCGAGTGTTCTCGTCATTGGAAAATGTGAGCAGGACTTGAGGATTCGACTTCCGATCATGCTTCTAACCTTAATCTGGCTGCCGACATAGCTGGACGAGCTGGGATACGTTGTCCACACAAATGGGTACCAATCCGCGGATCGAATGCCGAATACCACATGGGCGGTAAGCATTTAAGTCACCACCCTCTTATCTGTGAACATACTGGCGCCAGTCCTTGTGCTATGGACCGTTGCTGACCTTGTTTCTGCCACGCTTCTGCTGAGGTTCAATTTGGCTGACGTCAAACAGTCCAGTCACCCAAGGTGCCAAACTCAACCCCTCCTCTGAATGGGTGTGCTTATGTCAGCAAATACTTGGCAAGACCGTGTTTTCAGAGCTCACGACGCGATTTTCCTGACAGACTAAGCAATTTCTGCAGAGTTGCATCGCTTTCAGGGCTCCTCTCAGAGAGGAATTTTTGCCAATTATTCCCTCATTCCAGTCAGGTACGTCGACTTAGACGTAGGTCTCCTTGCAGATCCGGTCTTCTGCATGCATAGCCTCTTACTACTCAGGTCAATTATGTGTCATGTATTCAGGTTCTTCGCGTGACATGGGAAGTAGGGCTTTTTGCTTATTGGGCAGACTACAGTGACATCTTTACCGCGCATGTGAGTGTACGAACCTTCGCTTAATCTTTCCTTTTCTTTGCCCATACCGGGCATGGTCCGCAACCAAACCCTTTGAAGTTTCGTAGCAGCCCCACAGTACAATCAGTAATTGGAAAAAGGAGCATCGCGTGTCGGGGCGTCGTACGGAGTTGCTTGTGCGGAGTCACTGTGAGGAACTTTGGAAGCTTGAGGAGCTTCCCACTATTCACAAGTAGACCACTGACCAAGTAGGTAAAGCGCACAAGAAAATCCATATTACCGTAGAGGTTCGTGATCAGCCAGCTTTAGCCTGTTCGGTTTCATATCCCACCCAAATTAGTGTTGATGTCCCATGCTAGAACCATAACAACTGGAACTGGTTTCACATGTATACCTTCTAATGCTCTTTTCGGTGTTGCAGTCTCTTGGAGTGGACTACCCATGCGACCTGCTTTCGGCCGTCCACACAGCCCATCAAACTCCCGGTGTCAAGGCCATAAGACTTATCGACCAGTAAGCCTCAACTTGCCGGCGCACAAATTAGCAAGCGACCTTTGAATGCTCCAGCTAATGTCATTGCCTTCCATCGGCGCTTACTGCTGTTCTGCCTTCGTAATATGCCTTCTTCTACAAGGAGGTCTGAGCGTAGTAGCCTCGCCTGTTGACTGAACGGCACGACTGGATTGGGAAGCGACCGATGTTTGGTGTTCAACTCCGTACTGTTCAATGTCGAGCCGAGTGTGTCGCCCGACGCGGGTCGCCAACGAAACTCCTTCACATTATTGCCTTCTTTACTATTCGTAGTAGCTACCCACTGGAGCAAACGGCTATACCAGATTTTCAACCGGTGCTGCAGGGACATGTCGGTCACCCGTGCAAGATCGATGCGGAGCTTACGTTCGTGGAGCGGCACTTTGGTTCCTTTCTATATGTGATGTCGAGCGCCTACGAGAATAGGAGCTGGATCCTTCACTTTCTAGCGGAGGCTTATCTTTCCAATCGGGGGAACCCTGACTTCGTCGCACTGGATTCAGAGAAGAAGGTGATGATTGCCTGGACAGCGGCAACGTTCTTCGCTTACCAAGCCAGAAAGGCTTTCGGTTCCAAGCATTTTTTTAGAAATGCACACAGCACGCAATTGCAGAAGCTGGCTATATTTGAAGACCTAAAAGGGAGTGCAGCAGAAGGAATCTGAACACATCCTCCCTTGTTTTTCGTCAAGCCAGCAAAATGCCTAACTCCTCATCATCTCTGTGGATTCCAGGATGAACGCACGTCGTGCTCGCTAGGACGGATAAATAAAATCCTGACAAAAGTTACAACACGGCTTATTGAAACGTTAATTCGTTTTCTGCAGGACGACGACGACGATATTGTAGCCAGTAAAGCCTTCGGAAGACTGTTTCGAGCTTTCCGCCAAGGTGCATATGTTGACCTGCCCCTTTTAAAAAAGAATTGTGCTCTCAGCGCTCAAAATCACCAGGTTGTCCGCTGCTTTCATACGATTCCTAGAGGTGCGTATAATTCTTCTTATTCAAGATCTATTAGCCAAGCTTCTTCAAGGGTGCTTACGTATGCTTCCCCGGTCTAATGTGCCCGACTTTCTTACTGGCAACCCTGCTTCCGGGTTCTCCGTACCTGACTGAGTATGAACGGCCCGGATAAGGCCCGAAATTCATCACAGAGAGAAAAACGAGCTCCTCACCACAGGTCGCCCCCCCTCAATGGCTGATCAAGCCACGTACCGCTCATACCAGAACAAGGAGCTTGCAAAATTACGTGCCGACGATGACCTTGGGAATTCCGACGTACTATTGGCCAGCAACCCAAAGGCCCTGCATGCGCTTCTGGGGGAGCGGGACCTCTATATGGCAGGCGTAAGTTTCCCGGAAGTTTCTTTGAAAGGAGTTTTACCGGGTTGCACTGGGCCGTTTGCGAAGGCCTCTCACAGTCTTTGGGCGAGCATCTTAAGTTCCGAATGGACAGCTCACTTAACGAGTCGAAATACGGGCCTGCCGATTCTAGTAACGTCTAGAATGTTGTGGCCATCCGAAAGCTTCTACTTCAAGCTAGACAACTCTCAGTTTCGCCGACTCGCCCGTAAAGACTTTCGATGTACCCACAGATTGTGGCCGTTCCCTTGCATCGTATGTGCACCTTTCGCTCTGCCTCTTCGATCAAGTTGCAGCCCTAACGTCTTCTGACTCATCTTTGACGATATACTTCCTTCAGGAACTGGCTCAATGTTCGTTCATGTCCAAGACGATCGTGGCGGTGGTCGGAGCGGCTCACGTCCCTGGCATCCAAAAGCACTTTCCTGAGGAGACGCTCTTTAACCACATCTCGAACGAGGGGAGCGTGCTGTGGGAACGCAGGCGAGAAGCAGAGCTGGAAGAAAGCAATCAGGTAGGTAATTCCAGTGAATCGAACAAGCGGACAACGTAGGACGGTCAGTACAAACGTGCTTTCTTGGCGAACCAGACTTGGGTGTAATTTTGGTACTGAGGGGCTATTTGACCCCTTTTGAAACCTACAAACGAATCGTTTTTCAGAACGGAAGAAGCAGAAACCAATCACGTCCGACCTCGCCGGTCACCATTAAAGCGATACCTATCAATAGCTGGCTTGGACGGAAAAGAGCCAGGTCCTGAGTTTGACGAATCATTCGATCATATTGGAGGCATCATTCGATCATATAGGAGGCATTACTCAAAGTACATTTGGGTTAACGCAATCGAATGAAGGAGTACTGTGCTGAGCTCGAGTCGGAACGAGCATTTGTCACAACATATAAGCAAAGGTTGTGAACGGCAAAACCGTGACGCATATCAATTATGCTGCCATTTATGCGCAAATAAGTTCTTGATGTCATCGAAGTCGGAGTCTCAGAATCACGGCTGACTGGACAATCTGCAAATGCTTTTCGGCGTGCGCCCTTGCTAATGAACGTGTGTCCTTCGTTTCATTCAGAAGTCGGCCAATCTGAAGGCGAAAATGGAAGCGAGCGCAGAACGAGCTGGTACAGAAGCGAGACTTCGAGGTGCTGCCACGTGTACGGCAATGACGCTCGCCAGAGTGGGCGCGTTCGCCCTTCACAAACGACACCCGCGCGCCGCGATCAACGCTGCAAAGCTGGGTGGCGCAGCTGCGTTACTTACCGGCGCAGCTCGAGTGGGACTCGCGTATGCAACTGCCCAGTGGACGCAGTTCGGAGCTTACTTGAGGAATGCGGAGCCAGCAGAAAATGCTTAGCCTAGTCACTGCTGTCGAACAGCTTAGGCCGAACCAATGTGTGATGACGGAATGGGAATGATAGGAATATATTGCATTCTGGAAGTCGACCACTAGTATTGCGGCAGTCAAATATATGGTCATCATTGCACCGATCGCACCTCGATCGGCTTTTGTCGCGATCGACCTGTTGGCGCGCAGGCGAGCTCACACGGTATGTACGTCAATCAATCAACCGCCAGAAGAGTTCATGAGAGCACAGCTACTAGATTGACAGTTGAGTGTTGAAGCAAGCTGTACTTCAGTCAGCAGACCCGGGCCTGGTCATTGATTTCTCATTAATTGATTCGACTGACGGGCCGGCTCCCATAAGATGCGGGTGACATAGCGCATGACCATGTCGCTGGCGTGCCGGCCAGAGTGGCTGCAGCGCGCGTCGCGTTCGCCCTAATACACAGCTGATGCAATAAGCATAGAGTACATGCCCGGTGGCTGCTTGAAGCATCCCAGGTACACGCGGTGGCAGAACTTAACTGATTTGAGGACGTTTCATGGTGGACCGGAGCGCCGCTTTGATTTTAAGCGTGCTGCAGCTGTAAACAGTTGAACAGTACTGAAGAACTGCTGGCCCCCTGAACTGGCCTATCATGCGTCTGGCCTGCCTACGTCCCGTAAACGAGTGCTCATGCAGCCTGGTGCTGCATCCTGGTACAGAGCTGTGATGCTGGCCCGGGGGCGGCCGCACCCGACGGAATCTCGAGTGACGTAAGCAAGACGGAGGATGTGGATCACGGCAACCCGGGGCTCCATCCCGGTTACGTCAGAAGATTCTCTGGCTACCGTACAGAGTGCCTTTTCACACTCCGCAGATGAGTTTCTTCAATGCCCCCACTATCCATCGAATGGACCTTGGTGGGAAAACCGTCGGCTGTGGATGCGACTGACATATGCACCCCGTCATAAATGTCACCGACGTCGATTTGAGCGGAAGCCGTACCGCTACGCAGAGGCTTGGTTATTAGGTAACCCAGAAACAAGATTGCCGAGACTATTGCCGCTGAGGCCGCCGTCTTGCAAAACGGTCTTCTACTTTGGCTCTTGATAAGAGACCTTTAAATCACCGGGCTCGTAGCCTCGCGTAAATCCCACCTTCATACCGGTAGTATACCTACTCAGACAACACAAAAGCCGGTAGCCGACGTCACCAAACGGTCCAAACCCTCCGATGCAATCGGGTTTATTGAACGCCTAAATTCCTCCACCCGAACATATCGCGTGCGACTTGAAAGAATTGAACCCCTTGCTGCACACTGGACAGTCTTGTCTACCGTACATAGGTACTTTGCTTCATGCTCAATGGACTCCAGATTTAGTCCCAAGAAACGCCTCTTGAGCCAGCTCTTCAGCTCAAAAGTGTCCTTATTCTTGGCTTGAAATGCTTCCGAATCGTTCTCGAAGGGTCTCTCTTCAGCCAAGGTAAATGTTCAGGAAGCCAAAGCCAGCCTGCAAGCTGAAACGTGTGCTAGCTGAAACGGTCTGCAACAGAAGGGCAGGGAAAAGGGGCGCCCTATTCATCAAAACCCGTTAGGCCGGACTACTCTGGCCATTTCAATCTAGAAGTGGTTGTTGTTAGGGGTTCTGCTTCTGTGTAACAATGGTGTCCTTCAGTCCCCTCCTCGCCGTTCTCCTTCTTGCTGCGGCAAGCCCTGGTAAGGTCCACTTGCTCGGCATTGCATTACCTTGTCCTTTTGATGCCCGCTTCTCGTTTCCTTCTTCGTCTGGTTTTCTGATCCTTGAAAGGGGCACCTGAGTTTGGTTCACAAGACAAGGGTGCCTCACAGAATCAAAGAGTGTAGACAAAAGCCCAACACCGTGTTGCGTAAATATCAATCCCCTCGCATACAGGTTGACAGGCTGTCTCGACATTATGCTTGGTGATTGTCGCCCAGCTCAAGAAATGCAAGTTATTTGAGGGGTTTGTGTGTCCAACAAGTTGAGGGAAGGAGGCTTAGCACTTTTGCATAATGCACCCACATGTGGACCTGTGGTATCATGTCCCTGCATACCACATTTGCCCCATTGTTCGGAAATAGATGGGACTTACAGCACAACATGCACTAATACATGATACAGCAATAATGCTCATCTGTGGCTGGGCTTCTGTTTCTTCTGGACCTTCTTTAATGTGCAGCATTACCTGTATGTACACTGACTCAACTTTGGAGCTGCACCTGATAAATCTTGGTGCCTGCTTTGGGCACTCTGAGTGGCTAAGCATTGGTCAGTATAAGCGCAAGGCATTGGGCAGATAATGCAGGCAGTGATCCCCCTGCTTGCAACAGAGCGTTTTGGCTGTATTCATGATCAACGCAAGGCTAAATCATGGTCGAAATGCGCCTTGCCTTTACACTCTATCATATTACCCTCGCAAGTCTCAGAAAATAAGGATCCACGAGGATGTCTTGCACTGTGATACCTGTGTCTGCTATTTATCAGGGTGCTTCATACTTTCTGCTCTCCTGAACCGTTGGGTCATTTTCAGTATGCAATAAATTTCTCTTGTTAGGCAGTGATCACTTCTGGTGAGTGATCTGTGCTTTCAAGGGTAGCCTCTAACCCCCTCTTAGGACCATTCACTTCATGGCTGATCCACAGGTTCGACTTGCAGTTCCAAAAGCTAGGGTATCCCCACAAGATTCACCTGGAGCGATCATTCCATGGAGCGAACTGTAAGGAGGGCCTACCCACGTCCTCTAACCAGGGCAAGGCGGTTTAAAGAAAAGTCGATTTCATTCTTACAAGTCTTATCATCTGTTTCTGCAGGGTTAGCCCTCCTGCAATCGGGTTACACCCAAACCCAGGTCATATACGCAAGCTCCAAATCTGAGTTCCCCATCACCGCAAACACCACAACCACCGCTCTGGTTGTCTTGACCTTTACGTCAACCAGCATCTGCTATGACATCAGCAACGTGTTGCCAGCTGTCAACCTGACGGCTGCTCACATTCATGTGGGAGCAAGCAATGTCTCAGGACCAATATATGTGGGTTTATTTACGGCCAATGCGACGACGCCAGCTGTGCTCAGGGCATGCGTCATAATCCCGACAGCGTCAGTCGATAAGATACTGGCAAACCCGAGCGCATACTATTTCAACGCGCACACAGTGGCACAGCCTGCGGGGGCGTTCAGGTGAGCTGTTTCTCATTTTTGCCTATTTCTCCTCATTCCTAAGTACCTTCCGGGGTGGAAGAGTCTGATTGTGTCGCAAATGTGTATTGTCCTGGGGAACTTGTGTCGGGTATGTTGCAGCTATAGGGCATGTAGCAGCCTTAGGGGAAGGTGATATTTTGTCCTCGTCCGTTCCTTACATGTTCATCGTTTTGTGATCTCAACACACAAGCTACTTTGGGCGGCTGGCCTTTCAAAGTGTGAGGAATGTAGGCAAGGAGCAGATTGGCGGAAGTGTCACATACGCACGTGCCTAAAGGCTGGCTGAGAGACTTCAATGTTACTCTCATTACACACATTTCTGCCGCCTCCTGAGCATGCTTCATCCCGCGGTGATTTGGCTCCATCGCTCAAGCGTTCCGATGTCGCGCTGCTAGTCAAATTGGTGCTAGATATGAACACAGCAGAAGTCTGAGTGTTCTTGTTGTTTCCTCCATCTTCTGACATTAATATTCGAGGGGAGAGGAAACAGACCAACACAAAGACAGAGGGAGTGATGAGTTGGTAGGCTAAGACAGAAAGTCGAGATGGATTTTCTCTAAACCATGCTGAAGAGGTAACATCCATAGCAAAAAGGGATATCAATTTGTTAATGTTAACTCCGCGACCAGGTCCCAGCCCTAGCTTGTGCATGTCAAAGAAAATTTCAGTCCCAAAATCAGTTGGGCAGCACTTTGGAGATGACCGCTGTAAGAAGCTGTCGAAGCTTACAACAAGCTAGGCAAATTTGACCTTCGTTTAACCTGATGCTAACCAGGTTTGTAGACCTGGTCCTCCCCTGGCAGCTGGGGGCCACCTTATGAAGTTGACCAGTCTGGGCATGGGTTAACACAGACTGCCTCCAAGTCGAAATCTTCTCTCAACCAGTTCCTGACTACGCCTACATCCGGACTTTGTTCACCTGAGCTCCATTAAGTCCCAACAAGGTGGTCAACCCGTCCTTTCCTTGTGCAGGGGTCAGCTGGGACGCACGTTCAAGGTGAACTTGTTGGGGAGCAATGAAGTGCCGCCGAACAACAGCACCGTCACCGGCGTCGCTTTGGTCACGATTGGAGACACCTATGTAAGTACATATGAATAAAAAAAGTTGAAGTCTTTCGCATTGTCCCACATGGTTGGAACATGCATTGGATGGAAGTCTGCTCGCGTCTTGGCTCTCGTTTGATGAGAACCTGGCCCTTGACTTTTGTAACTTAGGAGACGCAATCGTGAATGGTCAGCGTCCGGAAAAACCTCGAATCTTCTGAAAGAAAAAAAGCATAATGATTCTGCATTACTCCTTAAGCACCTTCCTCGCCAAGTGAGTTGCGCTGGCTAGGTTTGCGACTCGGACAAGTCTCTGGCGCGGCTTTAACCCCGAATAAAGCATTTGGTTTGCTGTACAGGTCTGTTACTCAGGCCTGTCGGTTAGTAACGGGTTAGGCAACCTAACCCAGGGCCACATCCACGACGGAGATAAGGCGTCTGCCGGGCCAATTCTGATCCCTCTCTTCTCTGGAGTCCCGAGCCCGACTAACTGCACCGGAAACCTCAACCCAGCAATCACTGCCGACGTCCTTGATTTTCCTGGTAAGCCTCTATCGTGCGCCTTTGAACTTCAGCCATTGGTTCGATCGAAAGATACTCTACCTGAAGAGCGAAACGAGATGTGGACGATGTTCTTGACATTGCTGCTTAGCTCCGCGGTCTCGCCTTCTGTGAACTTCGGCCGTTCTTTCTGCATACCGAAGCTCCTGGAAAACAGGGGATAAGGACAAAAACCAAAGCGCATCACTCGATCTCACCAGAACCCTTGGCGCTGCCCGCCTTCGGATTTGACGTCCTTGATAATTCAGGCCTGTCGCTTTTCGGAAATTGCGAGACTTACCATTCTGCTGGCGACTGGCCTTCTCTTCTGCAACTGCATAACCCTTTATTTCAGGGGCACTTCTTCACACAGAACGGATAGAGAGACAGAAATTTAAAGACTCTGACTGCTCTCAAGCAAGCGCACTAATTGCCCTCACTCGTCATCTCCTCCGATGGCTTAATTCAACGTCATGGAAATTTTCGCCAAAGGGGTTCCTTCTCCTCTCCTTTCTCCCAGCATCCAAGTCAGCTAAGGCCTTTCCGCTGTTACGGGCTACTGTGAACCAACTGTAACCAACCTTTGAGAAGCTTCAGGGTCCCAGCGGAACGTTCGACTCTCCAACAACATCTTGAGAGATTCCTTGGTTTCCAAAAACGGACGCGCTATCATTCCCGCAGCAAAACAGTACTGACCGCCTGTCAGGCATCGCCAGTCAACCGCGACATGCCGAGACAGATCTGCGAGCAATTGCATGATTCGTAGATTTTCAATTTGTTTCTGCAGGCGAGCACTATATGAATGTACACTCCGCCGTGTTCCCTGCCGGCGCCGCGCGCGCGCAGCTCGTGGAGGCCACTGACTACACTGCGACGCTCACTCTTTTTGCCACGTCAGCATCCGAGGTCCCCGCTCTAGTTGTCAATTCCACGGCCAGCGGCTCCCCTGGTAACCTCACGGCTGTTCTCAGCATTACTCCGACGACCATATGCTATCTGATCATAGACGCGGGTGCAACCTTCGCGAAGTTTTCTGCGGCGCACATTCACAGGGGAGCGTATAATGAGTCGGGCCCTATCCTTATTACGTTGTTCCAGGGGACGTATAACCCTAACGCGTGCGCCAATTTCAGCGACTCGGGCGTGTTGTTTGATCTAGTCAGGAACCCGCAGAAGTATTACTTCAACATACACAACGCAGACTATCCCGCAGGGGTTGCCAGGTGAGACGAGTCTTTTCGATACTGGAAGTCTGGGGCTTGGTTTTGTGGTTAGAATTGCAGTAGTGAAGTGCTTCAATGTAGCAAACGTGGACGATCTTCCGTAGTCTACAAGATAGTCGGATCCAAGAGCTATCCTGTAACACAACTTCGGACTTGCTCCGAGAGAGGGAAAAGTCTTAACGTGACGTCGTCTCCTACACGCAGGGCGCAGCTCGGCCCTTCGTTTATAATGCAGCTCTATGGTTCCCTCGAGACGGACAAACCCACCGACAGAAACGGCAGTCTCATTCTCACCATCGGCTACAGCTCGGTACGTTTTAGGAGGCCTCCTTTTCATGCTGCTGATAGAACTGTTTTGAATGGATTGGAGACTAGCTGGAGTTCGCCAGAGGCATCTGAACCTTCCGGGCGCAGCTGATGCAAGCTCACACGTCAGCCCTGGCCCAGTTTGGCTTTGAAATGTGCGCTGGAAACGTCTGCTGGCTACGTGATTGTTAGAATCAGGAGTGTTCCAATGGGCGGTCTTAGTTGCTATTAGCTAGAGCCCAAATCGCGCTCTCAGACTGGCTTCGTTAGCTAAAATTCGGACGGCTGTGACAGCGTTTCGGCCACCGGGGCAAGTCTGCGGTCCGCCGGAGATTTCAAAGGTCGAAATGAGGAGACCGCAAATCCGCCTCCCAAACCCAAAATCTCACGAACTTTTTGGAGATCGATCATCGTTTGCCGTTTTAAAGTAACGGTTTGATGTACAGTGGAAGGAAGGTTGTTACGAAGGGACCAAAATATTGCCGCCCAATCGCGCATGTGTGCTACAACCAGCTGGCCTCTGGCGGGCCGTTTGATCGACCGCCGTTTGATTCTTCTCCGTTGAATATTCTAGATGAACGGTTCGGTATTGAATTGCGAAGTTCGTCATGAACAGACCAGACTTTTTGCCACCCGCTTGCGCAGGTGTGTTACAACCAGCTGGCCTTTGGCGGGCCGTTCACTAACCTAACCCAGGGCCACATCCACAACGGGACATCCAGCGTGGCGGGACCGATTCTCGTTCCGCTTTTCACGGGCGTTCCCAGACCCCCGGGCTGCACCCCGGCGCCGCCCGCGACGCTTGCCGCGATTGTCGCAAATCCAAGTCAGTGACTGCCTTTGTCGTAGTCTTGGAATCCTGTATTTCAAGGCAATTGTAATAAATTTCACTTCCTGGAACGGGTACGGGTACTTCGGGCTCTAGGGCGGAAATACGATTGATGGGCTGGGAACTAAGGTTCAAAGTGTTGTAAGTCTTCCCCTTTTTTTCTGAGCCGTACATGTACTTTTTGAAACTATGTCATCATTTGCCTTCTCGGGGCCCGCGCCTTCTCCACAAAATCCAAAAAAGGCAGCTAACCTTTGCGGCGATCCCTGCCCCGAGAATCCTGCTCTGATGTTGCCGGAGAGTCGATCATGTGGCGCCACGTCTAGCGACTGAAAGTCTTAAAAATCTGTGCCGTTTGGTTGCCACAGCGCACAAGTCCCACGACGCCCTCTTTATGAGCTTACTGAGCTCCGACCTACGACTACGCAAATAGGAGGGTCCATGCTTCCACCCTAGCGAAGCACCCCGACCCTTTTTCTATTCCGGGACCCATCATTGACCTTCTGCATTAGTATCGTAGACCGTTTGCAACGGGCGTTCCGTCGCTATCGCCGGCCCTTTTAGCGGGCCAAGTCATCCCTCCACCCTGCCAATGGTTCAGTCCAGTGGGAATCAATTGAGTATCGTTCAACTCTCCGCAATTGAAGTTGCTCTGATAGCTTATGCCTTTTCTTCTCGCAGCCCAATACTACGTCAACATCCACTCCATCATGTACCCAGCGGGGGCGGCGAGGAACCAGCTGGCAGCAAACCAAACGGTGTTGAACGTTATCTAAATCCATCTAGTGCCTTGAAAGAGGCGGCCTAAGGAGCTCTAAGTTCATGCATATTGAAGTATCATCGAGTCAACAACGCGAGTCAATCTATATTTATGTCACCGTGTCATTTACGCTTAAGCTGAGACCTGAACCTCAAGCATCTAAGGAGGAGTGAAGCGTTAGCATCGACAGTCTTTCAGTGCGATTGAATTCGAACGTGATTTATATACTCAAGGCTAGGCTGTCTGATGGGAGGGGGCCGGGTTCCGAATTCGAGTATCTATGCGACTCTGTAAAGAGCTAGACAAGGTGGTGGTCTTTGAAGGTCGAGAAGAGATGGACGGGAAATAGGTATGCTCATCAAATCATTTAAGTGTAGTTACAGAATTAGCACACTTTGGTGGCTGTATTGACACTGACAGCGTACAAAGTTCGATCAATCCGCTTGTAAGCGGGTTGCGGCCGGTGCAAGGATAATCATGACAAAGTCAAGCCTCAGAAGCCCATTCCGTATCACTCATTGTAGGTGCATGGATCGTAAGCTTAGATCGAGAACGGCTTCCGTTCATTTCTAGAAGCGTTACCATCTGCGCGGCCCACCTGGCAACTCATGTACATTGAATCCATCCACTAACGTGCTATATTGCCATGCACCAAGGTCACCGTCCGCCCTCAAGGTCGCGGACGAACTTTATCGAACAAACGGTGGTTGACGCCTCATGAAGATGAAGCGGTACGGTACACGGCCCAGTGTTTACTAGGCTAGCCTGCAGTGCCAACGTGTATTGTATCAACTTGAACCTTAAATAACAATTGCATGGATGATTAAACTAAGATGGTGGAATATTATGAATTTAATGAAATTCAACCATCAATGATCGTCATGTGCGGGCCTGCCGAATCTCAATAACGTACCGTACGGCCTCCTGGCAACATGCACAATATAAAAGCTAGCTCGACCAGTCATGAACGTACTACTGTCCGTACACTACCTTATACAATAGCAACTTACAAACGTATACCGTGTTCTGCTGGCTTGGGCGTGTGTCATGCCGTGATCTATCGTTGCTGTAAGGGCTCGGCCCTAAGCTAGTTTTATTCCCCGCGCCTAGTTCATGCCTGCCGCTCTAGGGTGATCCCTCTGAGCCTGAGCTTCAGCACGTGGCATATCTGCTGACAGGCGTGCGCTTGATATTTGCCGCGCGGCCGTTACGATTATATTTCAACCGTATGACCACATATTTCGGCGGTTGATAACCGCGTCCAGCCACGGCGGTTATGGCGACATCGACTCCACGCGACTTGTAGACTTCCTAGGCTAGCTGTAGACTCAGACTACTAGTGTAGACTTCGCGCGATACCACTAGACCGTAGTGACTCGACTTCGACTCTAGACTCGACTCAGATATTCCGACGACAGCGAGTACAAAGGTTTCGAGGTACAAAGATTCGAGCTATTTTCTATTATTTTACTAGTTTCTCGTTTTCGCCCTGGGGGCCCAATTTAGTTTCCAACTTTTCGTTTTTCCTCAAAATAATTATTTAAAGGTGAATTCCTTTGTCGGTACGGTATAACCTAGGAACATTCGACTCATTCGCCAACTTTGTGCGAGTTGTGTTTTGGAGACATCAGCGCTCCCTTGTGACGATCAAGGCCGGTCGCCCTTGCATCCTCTCACCTGCATGACTTAGCACCTTCAAGCGCTTTGACGCTTCCTCCCGCTACGTTTGCCTGCTGTTTGCCACCCCCTGTGTGCCGAGTGCCTCGTTTGTGACGGTTGGACAGGGTCACACGCTGCCTGTCTACTTCACATGTGCGGAAACCATGCGAAGCTTCTCAGCCCGCCTTGGGATCACCTTGTGCAAGAGCGCCTCTCAGAAAAATTGCGTCTTCTTGCCTTCTTCCCAAAGACTGATTAGTTAGGAGTCACGAAGAGGCTCCATATTCAGTCGAGGAGTCTCGAGACTCGCACCTCGCAAGA